TCCCGGGTGACCCTGACCTCCCGCTGACCCTGACCTCCCGGGTGACCCTGACCTCCCGGGTGACCCTGACCTCCCTGCTGACCCTGACCTTCCCGGTGACCCTGACCTTCCCGGTGACCCTGACCTCCCGGGTGACCCTGACCTCCCTGCTGACCCTGACCTCCCGGGTGACCCTGACCTCCCTGCTGACCCTGACCTTCCCGCTGACCTTGACCTTCCGGATGACCCTGACCTTCCAGGGCACCCTGCCGGTGACGGCCCCGGTGAGGCCTCCCCCACCGCTGTGGGGTTCCGGGGGGCTGACCGGCCGCTGCTCTCTCCCCTAGGAATTGACAACCCAGTGTTTTCTCCGGACGAGGCCCTGGACCGCAGCCTCCTGGCGCGGGTGCCGCCCTGGCTGTCTCCCGGGGAGACGGTGGTGCCCTCGCAGAGGGCCCGCACGCAGATCCCCCTCTCTCCCGGCGCGTTCCGCCGCCTGACGCCCCTCCGCCTCAGCAGCAAGTCGGTGGACTCCTTCCTGCAGGCCGACGGCCCCGAGGAGCGGCCCCCCGCCGCGCCCGAGTCCACACACATGTAACTCCCGGCCGCCCGCTAACCCTCTCTCCGCAGCTCCTCTCCGCAGGTCGCGGCGCGCCCTCCGCCTCCGGGACCCGACCTGGCACCTGCTTCTCTCTCCTGCAGCGCCTCTTCCTCCTCCAGGCCCCGCCGGCCGCACCCCTCGGAGCCCGCACCCCGCACTCGGGGCCGGGACGGGGAGGGGCGGCCGCGGGTCCGGCCTTGCGAGCTCCCTTGTCTACGACGCGGGGAGCAGGTTTCCCACTGGGGACCGTCGCCTCCCGCGGGCCAGGGCCTGGGGCGGGACCTCCCGCACCGAGGAGGCCGCGGTCCTGGGACCCCGACGGCGGGACGCGACTGGGCCGGGCCGGGCCGGGGCTTCGCTGCTGCCGCTTCCGCCTCCGCCCCGCGAACCCGGGTCCTGGGAGGAGCCCCCGGCGGGCGCCGAGTCTGGGGTGCGCGTGGGAGGGTAGCGGGAGCCGCCGGGCTCGGGGAGCGCTGAGCCCGGGACCGCCCCTCCCGCCCCGGCCCCGGGCTCCGCGCGCCGCTCACGCGCCGCTCTCCCGCAGGTGACACCGGCTCCGACACGCCGCTGACCGGACGCTCGTCCCCGCGCCACGGGCCGCCCGCCGCCGCCGCCCCCGAGAAGCCCCCAATCCCCGCGCGGCTGCAGCGCCCGCGCGCCCCGAGCCCCGCCCCGCCCGCGCCTGCGCAGAACCCCGAGAGCGCCGCGCCCGCGCCCGCAGAGCCGCCCGAGAGCGAGCCGGGGGCGGGGCACGGGGCGGGGCCGGAGCGCCGGGGGCTGCCGAGTGCGCACGCGCGGTCGGCGGCGGCGCGCCGCGTGCACAGCCGGCGCTCGTTCCAGCGGCCTCGCGCGCGCCGCCGCCCGGCGCTGCTGAAGCTGGCGTCGCTGCCGCCCTCGTGCCACGCGCCGCCGCACGCGCTGGAGCAGGAGGAGACGCCGCTGTGACGCCGCCGGCGGCAGGCGCCCGGAGTGGGTTTGCGGCGGGAAACCGGCCCTGGGCGCCCCGGGCCCTCCCCGCCACCGACCCGGGGCCTCCCACGCGCCGGGACCCGGGACCCGGGGCGGCCCTCGCCGGGATCTGAGCTGCGCGGGACGTGGCGGAATGTCTTCCGCCTGCCCGGCGCCTGGGGTCTAGACTCCTGGAGCCAGCACCTGCTCCGCTTCCCTCCCGGGCTCCGTCCTGCCCGCGCCGGGTCTCAGGGTGGCGGCCCGGGGCACCGCCGGTCCCCACAGACCAGGTCTCCGGCCTGATGTCGCCCCCGGCTGGGTCAGCGGTGGCCGGTCCTTGAGTGGCTGCCCTGGCCCCCTCAGCACCGCAGGGAGCGCCCAGGGGGAATGGCGGTGCCCAGGGCACCCCGCAGGCTCAGGCCCTCCAAGAAGACCTGCTGAGACCCCTGGGCCTGTCCTGGACCCTTCCCACCCCCTCCGGCGTCCCTGGGCCAGTCCTCGTCCTCCCAGCCCGAGTTCTGGGGGGCGGGGTCCAGAGAGCGGGCGGAGGCCGCGGCGCTGAGCCCGGAGGGGGCCCCGAGTCCGCCCATCCCTCGGGCGGCAAGTCCCTCAGGGTCCGACCTGCCTGCACTTGGCTGTGATGAGGGCAGGGGAGGCGGGACATTCCTAGGGGCTTTTCCAAGGGCAGACTCGCAGCTCCTTGCTCAGGAAAATTAAACTGCCCATGGTAAGTGTTGAGTCACCAGGTAGGAGGCGTTCTTAGTTTTACGTTGCTTGACGATGGCACACTGGTGGGAAGACTCCACCATTTCCCACTGGGAACTTCGTGCTGCTGTGAAAAAGGGAAGCGCCATCCACACAGAAGCCTCGTGACCCCGGCTTCGGAGACGCTCTCATCTACTGCAGCCACCCAGATCAAGCGCTGCGACTTTCGGTGTTCAGTGGTCGTTCTCCACACTCTGCAGCCGTTTCAATCAACTCTGAGCACAAAATCCAGCCATTCTCCATGCAGCAAGGCCTGCCCTGTCAGTGACCCTGCTGGGACAGAGCTGGGGCCAGCCTGGGTCCGGCTGCAGCTACCATCTTGATGTTCACCAGAGCAGCCTGGGGCCTGGCCTCCCCGGCACGAGTGGGTGTTCTGAGAGGCCCCCAGTTTGTCCCGTCTGCACCACCGAGAGGTCTCTGGGTGGCCAGAGGAGCAAAGCTACCTTCCAAGTGCCTATCCTAGCCTGGGAGAACAGAGCAGGAGCGTCGTGCGGCCCACAGCGCAGCACGCGGTGACTCCGGGCACAGAACAACTCCCCTGGACCCTTGCTTGGGCCTGCATCTGACTCCCGGCTGCACAGTCAGCAGCGGAGTCCAGGTAACTATAACTGCTCGGCCACTCCTGGTCGCTCCTCCCTGGACACCAAAGTCGGCAAAGACGACGCGGTAATCACTGCCATCTTACCGTGTGGCGAACACAACACTTACCAACACCTCCTTGAGGTCAGTCTTCAGCACCGGGGTGGGCAGGCAGGTTTTCTGTGTTTATGAGAACTGCACAGGCTTACGCACAAACGTGGAACCAGAGTTCCAGGTGAGGAAACCTCTCTCACAGCAGCTCAGAACACACCCCACCAGGTAACGTGGGCGCCCAGGCTGTGGGTGCCAGGAACGAGGGTAGGGACACATCATGAGTGGGAATCCCCATGTTCCTGTCACTACTGTAAAACAGAAGGTAAACAGTCTTATGAATGTATTTCCTTAGGAAAACTGTTGTAAAAACTTTTATTAGGAAGGATGTCTATTTATTTAATACTGAACTTTGGCCTCCTCTGTGATAAAGTCAACAAATTTAGGAAATCATTATTTCCCACTTCTGTATTTTCTCAAAAATAATTTTGTTACAGAGTTGAATATACTGTGTACTACTGATCTGTTGTGAAAGCAAAGAATCATCAAAACCTTTCAAATTACAAGTGTGAAAATTGTGTATGATTTTGCAGTTGTAATATTAATCGAACTTTGTAATTCAAATCACAAAACGATGTGCCTTAAATGCCCTCCAGTTGTGGGATGGCAGTGTCCGGGCAGGGAGGGCCCATCACCAAACCCTGAACCATTGCTAGACCACTTCTATTAAAAACATTTCAAGGCATTTTGGGTGCAAACTTCGTTTATAAATGAGAAATCATCTACCTAGGAGAATATAAGGAACAGTCTCCTGTAGGCGGATATCACTTTGCCAAAAATTAACACTGAGACAGGCGTGTGTGTGTGTGTGTGCTGTTGCTGCCCTTCCTGGCGGCTGTGGGAGGACTCCTGGAGCTGAGCTCGGCCCCTCCGGTGCAGACTGATGGGGTCAGAGCCCCCTGGGGAGGGCGGGAGGGAGCAGCGAAGGCAGAGGCTGGGATTGGGACACGGTGCTCACCCAGGCCTGAGCAGAATGAGGTGCCTGAGACACTACAGCAGCCTAGAGCAGGTGGGCCTGGGGCTGGAGAGAGGTGGGCTGAGAGTCTACAGCCTGGATGGCTTGACCCTTCTTGGGGGTGGGGGCAGCCAACAGCCCTCATGTGGGAGCGTGCTGCCTGTCAGCTTCCTCTGGACGAAAGGAACCCTATGTGCCTGGGCCCCATGTTTTAGGGGCCGGGTCCGTGAACAGCAGCAGATCCTCATTGTTAAAGAGATGTGGGAGCCCCTCACTGTCTGGTGCCCCCCCACCACCAGCAGTAAGAGGAGATCAAGGAACTGCCCTAACTTGAAAGACGCCCTTTCAACCAAGGGGCCACATGGCCCGGAGGTCGTGTGCGGTGAAGGGGTGCGGGTCCCAGGATGCGCTGAGGCCGCACGCGGTGGATGGGGCGAGGGTCTCGGGGATGCGCTGACAGTTGCGCGCGGTGGAAGGGGCGAGGGTCCCGTGGATGCGCTGACAGTCGCGCGCGGTGGAAGGGACGAGGGTCTCAGGGATGCGCTGAGGGCCGCACACGGTGGAAGGGGCGAGGATCCCGTGGATGCGCTCGGGGCCGCGCGCGGTGGAAGGGGCGAGGGTCCCGTGGATGCGCTGAAGGCCGCACACGGTGGAAGGGGCGAGGGTCCCGTGGATGCGCTGAGGGCCGCACACGGTGGAAGGGGCGAGGGTCCTGTGGATGCGCTCAGGGCCGCGCGCGGTGGAAGGGGCGAGGGTCCCAGGATGCGCTGCAGCCCGCTAGCCCTACCTGTGCATCCACTTCCCCAAGGCCACTTTGCAGCCAGACGCTCCCGTGCAGGCAGCAATCACCAGCCTTTGGTTTCGCCACTCACTGCCCTCCTGCTAGGAGGTGGCTACGGGCCTTCGCCCAGGCGTCCTGCAGTGTGTGGGGTGGAGACAGCCCTCCCCTTGTGTCAGGATGGACACCCACTGCCCAGGCACCAAACATGGCCTCGGCCAGAGCCACCCCAGAGCCTGCCCGCACGTTCTGGCTAGAGTCCTACCTCCCAAATAATGCTCATCAGTCAGTGGTCCCAGAACTCCCCGTCTGGTTTCAGTCTGCCCTCCAGAGGCTCAGTAGCCAAATGCTTCATCCACTGTCATTGCAGGTGCCCCTCAAGTGGATGTGACCAGTGACCGTGGGGCCCAGCAGTGACCCTCATACAGAATCAGAGCAAAACACCAGTGAGGGCTGCACACTCATGACCGTTCACCCTGGGCACTCATTCCAGGAGCAACGAGAATTCCCTCTC